TATATGTGTATATGTGTATATATATATATGTAGATGTCTATTTTATATATATTCAGAACTGCACGTCTAGTTTGAACTCCAGGGTTTATGAGATGTTGAAATCCAGACTGACATTCAGATGCTCTTCTCTGTTCCTTTCTAGGGAGCTAACAACGAGAAAAATAGTATCTGAATATTACTTACAAAACAACCGGCCCATTGGCTCCTTGGAAGACCTCATTTGGCAATTTTTCTAAGTTGTGATTATCACTTAGATTTCTGAAAAACACAACAATATTTATGTTAAAACGATTGGAGATTAAAAAAGTAGTTTGCAGCAGTTACTACCATCAAATAATTGGTTTTCAGAAGAGCAAATAACTGGAATAGTTACAGTTCATCCAGGTATGTTCCATTAAATGCATGATTCTCAATTTCCCGAATCCCATTTTTATTCAGCCATCTGCAACACAGAGAAAAAAAAGTTTTGTTCTTATTCATGCTTCATAACTGAACTATATGTAATTTACATCATTGAAAGGGATCTCAAGCAAATAAAATTATTACATGGATATTCAAATGGTGAAATTTCTATGAATATTAGCTGGTAAGATCTCAATAGTTGGAGGAAGGCTTTGGAGAGTGCAGGCAAGAATAGGGCAGATGAGAGCTACCATCAGAGATGATAGCTAGAGTAAGTTTCTGAAGCAAGGGCAGAGCCCTTGAAGATGCTGGTCCTGCTCACAGTTTCCCTGGGAAGGCTGCAGCAGAGTCAGTGAGGCTGTTCCAGGTTAATCCCCGGAGGGCTGAGACCAGGATCCTTCCCTGTTGATGCTGTCGGTGTCACTTAGTCTTATTTCACACAAGATGTTTTCACAACACTGGGCCACATCTTAACCTTTGCCAGTTAGAAAAAAAAGACGTCCATCTGCGGTGGTCTCATGTCCTCAGCTGGTCAGGTGGAGAAGGGAGGCTGACAGTCACTGAGGGGGGCAGGAGGACAGGAGGGGGGTGGTGGTGATGCCAAACTGCCCGGGAAGAGGTTGATTCCTCCTACATCTGCTGCTTCAACAAATTACACTCCCTTGTCTGCTCCGCTGCCACAGTCCCACCTTCCCAGGCTTCCTCAACCAAGAGGAGACACAGGTAGTGAACCTGGGTATCAAAGCTCCTGAGGCTTTCTGCCAAGTTTTTACTGTAGTGCATTAACTAATTAACATCTAACGTCCTTCCTTCTCTTCACGGTCCTAAAAATTTACATTTGGGTCAGTTATATTTATCATCTTTATGGTGCAATCTTTCACCTCACTTTAAACGTCGCTTTGCAACTCACGCCCTATCTAACAGGCAATGACAAGTCTGATTGATGGCAAAAAATGGCCCGATTTAATTAAACAGTCGGCAAACCTGGACGTTTTGTTTCTAACTCACACTGAAAGCTGAGCATGCAAGTGACCCACTTATCTAAAGTCTGAGGTGGTGAGCTAAGGTCAGCATGAAAATCAGTTATGGGTCTGGCTGAAAGGATTACCCTTTTGACCATGACAGGCAGATGTACAGAGCTCCATGTCTATAATGTCTGTCAGGTCGGATCAGGAGAACTGTCCCTTCACTTGCAAGCACTATTAGACATGAGTGAGCAGGCACAGAGGAGAGACATGTCCCTGCTTATAGCATTTAAAGCATTTATTATATTACATTGATCTCATCCATCCGCAGCTGCCAGGCTGATATATATGCTTTTAATCACAGTATTAGCACTTAGTGCATTCTCTCACTGAACATGATGCTAATGCAATGAGATACTAAGGTCATCGAATCACAGTAACTGCTCCCATACAGTGTGGACTGTACAATCCAGTCACCTGGCTAATTGCATCCGAAAGAGCAAAAAAACCCCCATACCTAAATCCTAAGACCTCATTATACTACAGATAGGCAAGTTTCTGTTGAGACAAATTCTCCCTTCACTTCAAACAGCATCCTTACTGACTCCATTAACTGTAACGTTAGCAACAAGTGACAACGGAGGCAGAGATCCGGAGCTTGGATGTCTGGACTTTTAACCACCATTTCGTGCCCATAACAGTATTTTTAAAATATTCTTTAAAATTCACCTGCTGCAGGAGGCCACTGCCCCTTAGGTACTATTTACACCCTATTTCAGGACAAGTAAGCTCTATCTCTGGCTCTAAGTAACATGCAGACCTGACAGCAAGGTGAGTTTCTTCCATAAATTTCTAGCACTTTTTAACCAAATATATCCACGATTCCAGTCTGTGCTGATCCCATGCCTAGCATAATCCAAATTACCAAGTTAAATATGTTTGGAGCCTCCCACAGCTAAACTTTTTAAAATTATGTCTCCCTAGAATGTGGAAGTTCAATGGGTCCTGGGTGTTTTTAGTGTCATCTTGTCACTCCTGTTTTCACAAAGTGATGTTTCTGTAAGACTAATTTTCTACTGCACTGCATAGTGGCTTCAGGTCTGTACAGAAAACCTGCAAATTCAGGTCTAAAGTGAGATAAATTCATCACAGCACAAAGAAAGCCTAATCAGGGACTCTCAGATTACATGGGCAGGGCCTCTGTCCCAAGGGAGAACTACAGCAGAGCCAGGACATGGTCTGACCTGGCGACTGGTGGCCAGGTCTGCTACCATAGCTCTTGCAGTTCCTGCACACACTGGTGGGCAATGGGACCATTGCAGCAGGCAAAGCAGAGGAGCTGGAAGATGGCAAGATTCCTCCCTGCCTCCAGGTCAATTTTGCTAGCAAACCACCAGCCTCAAGTCCTCAGAGAGGACTATTTTTCAATAGCTGTGCAATAATCATATAAGCAATGAGATATCCTGAGCAGAGAGTGGAAGCTGATTTCATGCTGCTCAAGTGGCTCAGAGAGGTCAAACCACAGTAAAAATCTGGGATATTTATCTCACTCCTTAGTGGTATTATGGAAACAAATACGATACTTGTTGTGCAGTGCTCTGAAAATAGAAATTCCCACCTGAGCAGCAAATATTATTGTCACAGGAGAAAAGATAAAACAGTGCATTTTCAGTATCATTACTTGAATATATACCTGAGGAAATAGTGTATTTTTAAAACCTCAGGGAAATCGATGCAGACAAAGGTTGTGCATAAGTGATGGGGAAAAAGGCGAGATAACAGCTAAGTGACTTGTTACCTGCCTCTCTTCAAATATTGATGGTCCTGACCTTGCTCCCACCAAAATCAACGTGAGCCCAATCAGTCAATCAGATCTTGCTTGTCTGCTTCAGTATGTGAGGCAAACTGCGCACACATGGAGGGAAATTTTTCCAGTCTGGCCACTGGCTAGGTGAAATGACGGCAGCTTGTTAGGAAGCAAACAGTATGTTTTGATATACCAACAGGAAGGATTAAAGAAGCCAGATAGTTCATTAAATTACATGATTGGTTGAGTCGAATGTAGTCTCATCTAACCATGCAGCTTGAAACTGCATTTTGAATTGATCTGTATCAATGCATTAATGCTGTGTGCAAATATACCACATTTCCACAATATCTACACATATTTTGCTCGAGTAATAAACATCTTTGAATAATGTGTCTGACTGTAAATATTTCTGAGTGATGCCATTCTTTTGAATACAATTTTTATCACATGGAATTGTTGTTGTAGGTGGAATATGTTTAACCTTGTCACCAGTAATTACTAAATTTGTTCTATGCTGTGCTTCTAAAATAAAGAGCAGGACTAGATACAACAAAAAACTACAAAAGCATTCATTTTGCATGGCAGGGAA